AGTAAGCATAAAAACATTGACTGGTTCTGACAGAAAACTGCAGAGAAAACAAAAACAGTTTAAATATGAATTAATGTTTTCCACTTAAATAATCCAGTCTAAAATTATTACTGGAGCCCCTGTTCTGTGGACTCAAAGTTTAAAATGCATTCAGAAGAAAAATGTTTCATAAATGATGCAGAAATGTCCAAAAGTCTCTCCTTATGTTTAATAATCAGCTGTGGCACATTTCACCTCTCGTTGTTGCTCACTTTGGGATAAAACRGATTCCTTCTAGAAACATTTATATTCATGTTTTGTCCTGAATGTTGACTGTCTCAAGTTCTGCCTTGGTGGATTTAGTCCTGCTTAGTCAGCAGGAAAGGCAACAATAATTTGTGCTGTTGGGACTAAGAGACTTGTACTCTTTGTAGATTTGATCTCTGAGGATTTTAGTTCTGCTCGCTGTTAGTGGACGAGCTTCAGCGCTTCCTCCTGACACCGATCCACCAGCTGTCTGCTCCTTTGGTCTCCTTATTTTTGTCAATTTCTCCAGTTAATCTGTGCGCTCACAATTCATTGGTTGTGCTTTTGGTTCTTTGTGGGAAACCATTAATGCTGTGCAGGACACACAAGTTAAACTAATATCTTTGACATTTAAAAAAAATGTAAATGCATAGTTTGCAGATGCTTTTGTGATTATATTTAAAACAAACTTGGGTCAGGTATTTACAATTTTCTTCACGTGAAAAAAATAAAAGTTTGGTTAAAATCCCTGCAGGAGAGTCAGCGGGTCAGAACAGCAGAACATCGGGTTTTAACAARCAACTCATGCCCACTGGAGGATTTGTTAAGAATGCTGACTTTAACATCAAACTTCAAGGAGCTGCTGTGTCTCTTGGTAACAAAGAACTGCTCAGTTTATATTAACTTTATTTTTTATTTCTAAAGGATTGCCCTTCTCAACTSGAGCATTGGACGCCTTGTTTGTTTTTTTAGGCCCCCTCACATCATGGGGATGCTGCTGCTCAGCGTCKCTCTAACAGCCTCGCTCTGTCTAACCCGTCACTGATAACGGCCTCTGCCTTCAGACGGGTTTTCTGGGTAATTTTCTCTCGGGCCAGAAGTGTCATCAGCGTGCAAATGTACTGAAATTAAATGTCAGAAAGTATCACATTCTGTTAATCAGTGTGATTCCTCTGAGATGACCTCAGCGCCTCATCTGCACTGAAACTTAATGATAAAGAAGATTAAGATGTTTTTGTGTAAATGTAGCCAAACATGTCAAAGCTTTGCGACGCCGATGGTTTAATTCACATCAAAGTGAAGGCCCGCAGGCCAGATTTGGCCTTTTGTTGCAGTTGCATCTGGCCCACAAGACATTTTATGTATTAGAAGCAGCCAGCCTGTCAGTCTGTCTGTACTGAATACACTTAATCTGTCAGACTTCAAACAATTAGCCTGTAAAGGGGTGGTTGTGCAAAATCAACTTTTTTGCGCTTTGTCATGTTACAATGCCACTCCCTCATTATAAACATRCCCAGAGTGTTGCTTTGACTCATTCATGCATGTTGGAGAAATCCTTKAATCTCCTGTGGCCAWATGGAGCTGCCTACATGGTTACAAAGCTCCGCCTATTTACCCAAAGCTCCTCCCTGTAGCTCAGTCTGCAGGGGAGCTCTCGCCCCACAGAGCCCCGCTCCCCCGAAGCCTTTCTGTGAAGTTGTGCTGAAGTGACAGGAACGATAGTCACATTTCTGATATATGAAGCATTTTCATAACTGAAAGTAACAGTTCAGTTCTTTACCACAATCAAGTAACTATTTTCCAAAACATTCCTCCTTTTTTTTTTAAAAAAAAAAATTGGTTTAAGAGAGGATTTGGGAATGTTTACACAGGACCAGTGTAATTCTTGWATGAGCTGCGTTTTTAGTTGTTGATGAGCTGAAAACTGTTTTCCTAAGGGTCCAAGGCAAAGGAAATTAATTCTACCTGTGTTTATTTCATTTTTAAAATCAATAAGCTTTGTTTTGTTCCAAGTTTTATAYAATCCCTTGGTAAGAGGTGATATTTCTGGATGAATAATTTCATATCTGAAACACAGTCAGTTCATCTTGAAATTGATTTAAAGGCCCTTAATTAGACCAAGATTTTAATTTTGTCTCCCAATCGAACTACTTTGGACACCCCTGGTCTAATTTATTCATGCATGTTTGCAAATGGAAAGTCTTTTATTTTGACACACCAACCAGTTTTAGATCGTTTCAATTTGAATAGTTTTTAGTTTAAAATGTAACTTTAAATGACGTCTTAAAGGCTGATGATGCACCAGTGAGACAAGTTATTGTAGCAAAAAACTATTTTGTTTTTGTGAACAGCATTAGATATGAAAGTCTTCAGGAGATTAAGGAAAACTGACTTATTTTCYATAAAAACTCATTACAACACCCAGCCAAGTGAGGAACACTCTTCAGGGAATAGACTCATTATCCATGCTGGCCATAAAGAGGGGAAACACACAAAAAACAACCTAAACCACAGGGAATTAGTCACATGATGCCAACGAGCACTGAAAGGACTGATTGGACCAGTTAGTCAAAAACACTTTTTTAAAAGCCTGAGCAGAATTGGACCTGCTCTGTTTGGACAAATAAACTCAACAAATGAGAGCAGAATGTCAGGAAGARCAGGATCCTGGAAAGGTTTGAGCAGAATAAAAGCAGGAGATAAATGTTGGCTGTGAACGGCAGCGAGCCTCAACCGAAATATTTGGGGATTTACAGGAGTGTCTACTCAAATTCAGCCAAATATGGAGAAGTCGATTGAACAGTACTTCACAATGTAGATGGTGATGACCCAAAACCGTCCTGGAACCTCCAACAGCTGAAAGAAAGAACCAAACAGAGAGAATTAATTGATTGTTTGAGCTACTTTCTGCRAAGGATTCCTGATAAAATAACAAATTAGGTTTTGGTTAAAGTTGGGGAACCACTCAAACTGTCTTTACCACCAAAACCGATTTAACCTCTTATTAATAACTGACTGAATAAAGAATAAACTTAAGCCAACATAAATCAGCTGTTTTATTTAAACATACAGTTTCTCTTTCCTTTTTTTGGCCTCTTTTTCTCTTCCAGTGTTTCCTCTTCTGACCTGCAGACCTTCTTATGCTTCAGTTACCAGAAACACCATTTTCTTCCTCACTGACGGCTTGGAAACYAACAAATGCATTGATTAATGGATGCATGTCCGGGGTCTAAAACAAACCCAGTGTTTRTCTGGAAGTGATGCATCGTGCGTCACAACACTGCTGCACAGATGATAAAGGAAAGTTGTCGTCAGGCACAGAGTTTTGGGCTGATTGGTTTTATTATTTCAACATCTTTGAAAKCCGATTTGATTTCCTCCATCGGGAAACTGATGCATAAATTTGCACCAAAGTGTTTCATCCGACATGAAAACTGAGCAGTTGTGGAAAAATAATGCATCTTCTCTGACCTGAGAACACTTGGGATCCCCCAGGAGCTGGAGAATAAAGTCAGGGTCTGCCTCCTGGACCTGAACAGACCTGACCTCAGCTGAGCAGAAGAAAATGAAAAATGTGGCTTTAGTTCAACGGTTTTCAAGCTCTGATTTTTTTTTTTCAAGTGGAGCTTCCTTGCTCATGTTTGTTTCAGGACCTTCATGTTGGTCTTTTTGTTGAAAGTATTTTCATTGAATATTCACTGGTCAGCATTTTTTTTTTCAAAATTCTTTCATGCGATTTTAAACAGTGAAACAGGTTTGTTTGATATAAAATGTAAATGTTTAACAGTTGTTTCTCTTCACAGAAACTTCTGATAATCCAGTAAAATGGTTTTGTACACATGCTAACATGATCTCCTTCAGGAAAACCGGCTTCTGTAACAGATCATCAAACCTGAACTTTGGCTTTGAGTCCTTTCAGCTCAGAAATCACAAAACCTCTGAAGTTATGTAGCAAACATCAACTTCTGTGTTTGTTTTTAATGTAAAGGGGTCACATGCGAAATCCTGAARGGAATTTGTGATCAATAAATGGAAATCTGAAWAAYATAGCAGAAAACCAGTTGAATCTCTTCTAAAGWCTTTCTTCTCGTCTCTGACTCCAGCAGCACACGGTCAGGCTTCAGAAGGCCTCGGCGTCTTGTCTGAACATAAACTAATAAACTCTCAGGAGCAGTGTGAGTCCCAGGCTGAATGTAAGAAGACGCCACAAAACTACGTCAGACAGTGGAACGTAACCAACTTTTATTAAAACCGAAAACATCGATACGACAAACTTATTTTCTGTTTTAAACCATATGGCTGCAATGATCAGAATTCATAAAAATACAAAACAGGATCTAAAATTTAGATAATCAGTTGTGAAATTTCCGTTAAATACATTTAGTTGTGTACTTGGAGTCATCAAGAGGCAGAAAAGTTGAATTTAGTCTCTCCTGATGCTGCAAAGTTTTCTTTATAATGTTTGGGTCATATTTCTCACACTGTTCAGTTTCTGTTTTCTATGATATTTTCTGAACTRTTACATCACAGTATTTGACCAAACTGCCAAATAATGTCTGGATTTACCAACTAGAATTTGGTGGTGGTCTCCTCTGGCTCATGTAAGGCTGGATGGAAGTCTTTTGTTGACATCTTTTAATTCATTTGTAAATAAAAAGTTTYTGCGCAGCTATATAGTTGTAAATCCCTCTATCAAACTAGAATGGACCGGTCTGGAAGCTGGAGGTGGGCGGGGCATGAAGCGCCTCATTTGGATTTAAAGAGACAGCCTCAAAATGAGTTGATCTGAGACATAACCTCAGAAAAGGGGCGGGGCTTGTGGAGTTACAATAAGGAGGAATTCAGACCAAAGCGTTGCAGTTCCACTTCATATAGACCCAAACTGAAGGATTTAAATGTGAAAAAGGAGYTAAAAGCATCACATGTCGATGGTTAATTTTTTACATTTAAACGGTMCTTTTTACCGTCTGTTTTCTGGCTCTACACTCTTCCAGGTCCAACTACTTTGAAGTGTTTGCCTTGGATGGAGCCAGCACCAACATCCTGCAGTTTTGCACCGCAGCAGAAAGCACAGACTGGCTCCAAGCGATCTCCACGAACATCAATGAGCTGACGCAGGAGAACGTAAGTTCACATGTTAACATTAGAAGCTGGATTCACGTGTCTGCAAATGAGTTATATGTGAATGCATCTTTTTATTATTGCTTCAGTTTATTTTACGAAGCTTTTACACTCATCAAAAAAAGAACAGAAGCAAAATATTACAAAGAAAAACCCACAATGTGACTTTGATGGATCCTTCGTGACACTCATGAGTCACAGAAGCACGTCTCCTCCTCCTCTCCCGGCAAAAGAAGCCATCTGTCCTAATTAATGACTCCTAAGTAGTCATTCAGCTCCTGCTCTTCTTTCTCATTTCCTCCTATTTCACTTTGATTAACACACTGATGTGAAGCATTTTTGGTGAGGACACAGCCGTACTGTACGTCTGTGCCAGTCGACTGCACAGCTGCATTTTTTTTAAAAGTGTGATTAATTTATGCCTGCWTCACCTAATTACTGACATGATGAGTGATTGCTAAATGGCCAATCAGGATCTAATTGTGTGGCTGCTTTGGGAGAAAGTGGAACTTTTGTTTTAATGACCTACAACCTTTAAATAGACTCAAACATCCTGAGGTTCYCTTTCTTCATGTGACTGTGATGAAGGACGTTTTACTGTTTGTTGGTGTTTAAAGTCAACCAGCTCCATGTTGTGTTGGTTAGACTGGAAAATGTTTAAGTCGTGCACCGTCAGATTCTCTTTACCACCAAGTTGTTTCTGTTCCTTAAAATTTTGTTGAAGTATTTATTTTAATTATTTACCAAATCTCTCATTTTTCCTACAGATAAAAATAATCAACAAATACTGCTCTGCAGATGATCAGGTGTGTATTACAGTCATARCTTGATGCAGCACTCAGTGGTTTATTATTTTGTTTTTAATGCCTGCTTGCAGTTGTATCAAATAAAAACTTTAATTTCAACACAGCAACTGTAAAATAAAAGTCTGAGTATAGAAATTACCAAAAAGCTTTGAAGTTGTAATGATGAAAGGCAAAACATCAAAAAAATAAAAATAATTCAGGTCTTCTGTGTGCAAGGACACAGAAAAAAGGGCAATCAAAAGAAGTTTAAAGGTGCTCCAATCATTTATTGTGAAAGCCAAAATTGAAGATGAATCATTTTTCTTTCCAATCCAAAATAAAAAAATAAATTAAAAAAACCACTGCAACACCTCTGCTCCTGGTGCGCCTGACAGAAAATGTCTGTTTAAATGAGGAGCCTGGCCCAGTTTCCTGACAGCAGAATGAGTTTTTCACAACAAGAGATCAGCACTTAAAGTAATAAACTATCAGCAGAAAGTCAGAAAACATAGGGGGGAGGCAGCAGGCGTAGTTTAAATAAAAAGTCACAGAATATAGCATGAAGAATAAGAGTCCTGGACTGAACCTGTGGACCGGTCGGCTGCAAAACAAGAGATTCACAGAATTTGATTGAACTCAATCAGACGAGGAAGGAGCGAGTCGTGAAGCGAGCRCAGGAACCGGCTCTGGTCAGAGGCAGACACCCAATTTCCTCCCATGAAACTGAGTCAAAAAGTGTTGAGCACAAAGGAAGAAGCCTTCCAGGGGCTGCAGCAGTAATAATGGACAACACAGGCAGGAAAAGAGGTGTGAGAGGAAAAATAAAACACTTCTGTTTGATGCTCAGTTTAAAGCCTCAGAACACCTGAAACATCAGGTTTGACTGTTACATCTGTGGCAAACACAACAATATTATGATTACTAGTATAAATTATTCTCCATTATTTATCCACTGAAATTCCAGTTGTGGTCCATTAATCTAAAGCAGGGCTATTCAACTGGTGGGCCGTGGGCCACATCCRGCCTGCGAGTGACCAAAGTGTGGCCCGCTGATTAGTTAATTCATCTGTTAAGCCCAATTACTGTAAGTTCTTTTAGTTAAACATRGACATTTTTTTGGTATCTACAGAAACATCAGAATATTGGCTACAAGCTGGTAAAAACATTTTTATGAACACACAAGACAGTTAAAACTACAAGCAGTTCAAGWTAAAACTATGAAAGTGAAAATAAAATTGGTTCTAAAATTTGTCAGATGTCACAATATTTATTAAACAGGAGGAAGAATGTGTGTTTTTTTGTTTTTAACATTGTTTTACCTTTACATAGGGTTGTGTATGTTGTATTCATGATTAAATGCATCAAAACAAATTATTTCAAAGGTAAAAGATCTTTGTAATACTTAGTTTATTTTTAKAATAACTTGAATTGCTGGATGTTGGGCCCCTGAGCTGTCGGCCTGCAGTAACTGTGGCCCCCGGAGCAGTTTAGTTAAAAAGCCCTGATCTAAAACCTGCTTTTTGTTTAGAGCTTCAAGCTGCTTTAGGAAAATAAAAGTTTGGTTTTACTTGGGATTCAGACCGGAGATTCAGTTTTTTTTAAAATGTCCACATGTCCGGTTGGCAGAGATCCTTGATCAGACTAATGTTCTTTGCAAAAGAAACACATTGGAGGTGTTCATCAGAACATCATCTGCATATAATAGCAGCTCTGCACCGACAGCACTGACAATTAAAATTAAAAACRCATCATCAGGATAAACGATTTGAGGAAAATTTGAACAGATTTTGKTCGTTTTAACCAAAACTTTGACAGCAAGATTCAGCAGAGTGAACGACAAAATGCTGCAGATGTTTCTGAGAATCAGACTGAATCATCTGACTTTATATAAACATAAACTGCACCGGAGGACATCCTTTCTGAGCTGCTTCACTTGTAGCTTTTGTCTAATTTATCAACTAAACATGCACTACTTTCTAATTAATTATTATTCTTTTAATTAACTGAAATTGTTTTGTTCCTGCAGATCGTACACATGGGATGGGTCTGTGAAAGTCCTGAAGGCAGAGTCTCTGGTCGAAGATCAGCGTTTAAGTTCCTGGCCCTCAGAGGACCATATTTTTATATCTTCAAAAGTCCCCCGGTAATTACCGTCCTCTTCCTCATCATTAACAATCACTTATTTGTTTAACTCCAAGCCTTCAGTGGCTAACATAAAGCTGATGTCAAAGTTTTTATTAAAACCCTCGACCTTGTGGCTCCGACTCAAAACGCTGCAGCCTCTGTTAGAGAAGAGTTTTGGTTTGTTTGGACAGAAAAACCATGATTTTATGCTGCAGCTCACTGATCTGTGATTGTCTCTTGTCTAAACAAACAACTATCTGGCAGCACATGCTTCAGCTGTAATTGAATAATGGAGGACATGCGTGCCTCAGCTGCTCATTAATTTTTATTTGTTGGGCTGATTGTGTAGTCGCAGTAAAACAAGCTGGGAGTATTTCTGTTTTTGCAGCTGAGTGATAATTGATCTGTCAGCGAGCGTGGCTCCATTTTTGGTCCTGTATGTGTAGGTTTTAGCTTTTTATTCGAGTCCATCTGGACTTGATGAGTCACATCCTTCCTWTTCAGGGATTTGATCCTGCTGGAGAATGAAGAGTGAATAACAGGCTTACATGTCAAACATATGTTTCTTTTATGACAGTTACATACAGGATAATCTCTGATGTGCTTTAAATGCAAAAACAAATCATCTTTTATATTATCCGTTTATCACACTCCTACCAAATGAATGCTTTTTTTGTCACAATGGATCTCAACAAACATGACTATACTCACTCTACAGGCAAAAATGACCCAAATTGATTAAAATACACATATATGACTATCATGAAATGATTTTACTGTTAACCATTTTATTGTGAATGTACCAGGGAATGCTGTATAAAAATAAGCCTTGTTGTTGGATCATATTTTTAGTTGTAATCCAGCAGCAGMCTGGTGTCTCAGCAGGACAGGATGTAGACTTTAGCTGTTCCTCTTGTTGTACGAGAGGCTCTGAGGCTGAAAATGTGCCGTCATGCAGGAAACCGTTTCTGCAGGATGCACATGTCTACGATCTGGATGCTGGATTGGTCAGTCTGAGCGGTTCAGGTTCCGACTGACGCAGGTTTCAAATCCCCGTTGGTGCTGAAAACTGAGGGCAGTTTCCTGAAAATCTGAAATATTTCCGATTATTTCCTGACAAAGTATATTAGTTTTACACTGAAAAGCTCCAAGGGTTTTGTATTTGAAGCATTTTTCACCCTTTAGTTATTTTTTGGCTGCGAGGTGGAGAAGATGGAGGCAGTTAGAAGTTATTGCTCCAGGTTTTAAGTGACGCTTTTTTAAAACCAAAAACATCAAAGAAAGATTAGGATCCATCAAATAAAGAATTATTTTGACCTCCTAAATTCTTATCGTGTTCAAGGTTTGTATTGAAAAAAAAAGTGAACCAAAAGTCCCAATGAGAACAGAGGTTTTTGTTCTGATACAAATTCTTCTTCAAACTATTTTTTTAATAAAAACAAAACAGCAACCAAAAATGTAAAGTTTTTGTTGATTATTTCTTACGTAACAACAGAACCAAGAGTTTTGTCTTCATGGGATCAACAGGAAAAGATTGAGTCTAAATGTTAAGGTTTGTTTTTATTTGCAACTTGAATTTTGGCCATTTTATTTAATTGTTTCTGGTCTTTTTTTGTCTGATAGCCTTTTATTGTGGTCGCTGGGCTGAATTTCATTTCTGACTTTGATTCATGATTTTGWACTAGAACTGGGCGATAATTCAGTAATGGTTTATATCGTGGTAGACATGTTCAGTATCAACAGAAAACACACTTGATATCATATCACTTCACTGGTTATAAAATAAGACCCTTTTAACTAAACACTGGGAAAGCTAAGATTCACCTTCAAAATAAAAGCTTCATGCTGTTAATAGACGACAAATGCCCGCTAACAAAATAATCACTTGCRTTTTATTTTGAAATATGTAAACCTGGTTTTCTTTTTCCCCTCTTGTCGGAACATTTGAGCGATAGAGCGATGGCTTTCTGGACTGGTCCACCATTGTAGAGTTAAATATGAAATTATTGATTCAAGATGCTGTTACACTGAAATGAGGCATCTAAAAACTGAAGGTGTCAATTAGACGCCCCAACAGCTAAAAGCTAGCAGCTAAACAAGATAAGCTGTGGKTCCACCGGGATTTCACTAAGGTCTATGATGTGGGGTCTCTGCAGGTGGTCAGGTCYAGGTTCAGCCCACAGAATGAGGTCAGCTGACCTGAATATACTGAATGAGCAGGTTATTCCRTCAATGRATTGTTTCTTCCCTGATGGTACAATATTCCTAGATGACAATGCCAGGATTAATTGGGCTCTTATTGTGAAAGAGTGGTTCAGGAAGCATGAGACGTCATTTTAACACATGGAYTGGCTCCACAGAGTCCACTGAGAGTCTGGGATGTGCTGGAGAAGGTCAGATTCTACCATCATCAATGCAARATSTTGGTGAAACTTTAATGCAACACTGGCTGAAATAAATCTGACATTGCAGAAACTTCACCAAACAACGCCACAGAGAATGTGTGCCATAATCAAACCTAAAGGTCTAACCAAATATTAGTGTGTAACCTTTTTTTGACCAGACAGTGTAGCAAAAAAAAACCTGTAGATTAACATGTTTCACCTCATAACTGATTAAAAATAAAGAACATTCAAAAAGGACTTGGATCTGTCGTGTGATCGCTGCGGACAATCTCCTGCACACATTCTGGTCCTGTCCAAAGCTACATGGATATTGGCAAGGCATCTTTGACACCTTGTCAGGACTATTTGGACGAACTGTTCATCCATCACCACTCATTTCTCTCTTTGGGGTGGCTCCAGCAGAAGCTTCCCTCAGTGAACATCAGAGGACGGTGTTAGCTTTCTGCTCTCTACTGGCTAGAAGACTTATTCTTCTTCGTTGGAAGGATCCACATCCTCCAGTATATGGTCATTGGTTAAGAGAAGTTGTCTTACATTCATTTAGAGAAGATTAGATATACTGTTAGGGGATCTGTAAACAAATTCTTTGATATCTGGCAGCCATTTATATCTTATGTAGAAAAAATTTCGGCAGATAATTTTRTGTAAAGGTCAAATATTGTTTCATTAAACACAAACCTGCTCATTGTATCATTTGATGAATACAAGATCGATTTTTGTTATTTCAGTGGATCCGGTATAGGAGGGGAGGGATGGGAGGGATTTTGGGTGTGTGTGTTTTGTTTTCTGTTTTTTTAAGTCTGTTCCTTTTTTGTGGTTTATAAAAAAAATTTAATAAAAAGACCTTGATCAAAAAAAAATATATAAAAAAAGAACGACGTTGAGTAAAAGATGATGTTTCAACAGCTAGACAGGAAAATGTGGATGAAGGTTTGACAAGAGTCTGACTGATTTAGTCTAAAACTAATCAATAATTATCAATATTAACTGAAAAATTTCAGCCGTATCTCTCTGCCCTATGTTATACTTTGCACCGTGTCTTCGCCCTGACGTGACCTTCTTACAGGGTCAGGATGCAGTTAATTCTCACCTCAGCATCATGATGCTGTCGCTGCAGGTCTCACACCTGTGTTGGGTTGTTTTGATGGTTCCAGAGCCACCTCGATGTGACCGAAACAATAAACCAACAACCTTGGTTCAGAATCATCTGTAACGAGGAGCCCACTGTCCTTGAAGACCAGGCTGATATTTTTTTTACCTGATCTCAAGACCCCATCAGGTTTTCTGGTTGTTTCACTTTTACCTGTTTTTAGAGCTGGAAGTCATCTGTTCTTCTCACCTTCTGTAAATTATTTCAGTTTCCTCTCCTATACAACACAGAAGGCATGATTTGAAAAGTTTGCAGTGTTTTTTTGTTTGTTTCCAACATTTGAAAAATAACGAGCGACTCTCCCATCCTAACAGTTTATCTTTATCAATATTTCATGTATTTGGAAACATCCACAGCCTGAAGGAGAAAGTAGAGACCAGCTTCCAGCCGCTCACGTCAGCTCCCCGTCCCTGTGGTAATAATCCAGACCTGCTGCATCCAGTCAGGGCTTCTCTGATATTACCAGGAGGAGGGATGGAGATTCTGGGTCAGAAGATGATGTTTGTTTTTGCTTTTTGCATTCAGACCCACAGGAACACTTCAGGGCTGCAGTGAATTTATGAAAACAGATCCATTTGTGGCATTGGAGGAGAAAAAAAAGTAAATCTTCATTTCAAACAAAAACAGATTAAAAAGTTTTAGTGAGTTTAGAGAATAGTTCAACATTCATGGGAATAAAATCACAGTAAATTTGTTTGTGTGCTGAGAGTTAGCAACGTTATACCCACACAATTCTGTCCCATATGCATATTTTTAATAATTATTTTTGTGGGAAATAAACCTAAAAGTTTGCCAAATCTSTCAATTTGTTTAGTTTGTTAGAGCTGAAAAAGAAAAGTCAAAGTTTTAATGAAGTCTGGAGAAGTTTGAGGAGGAAATTGTAGGTTTCTAAACCAAGGTTTGAGTTGCTTCTTAATGCTGTACTGAATTTTATCTTCCCATTTAAATTTATATAAAAACATTTTACATTTTGTCCTCGGATACCGACAGCTGCGCAGACAATCATTTTCATCACGTCTGAGAGCTTTGAGAGAGATTTGAGCAAAGCGATGAGAATGGATCCAAGGTTAAATAACTTAAAACATTTTTCACTTGTTTTGTTTCTCAATAAGTTAATTGTTTGAACAGATGTTTTCTGTTGAGRATTCCTCTCCATCAGTCTGCACCTTGTTTATGTGACTGATCAGTTGTTTCAGAACTTCAGCTGTTTTTACAACATTTACAGCTTTAAAGTGGTAAATTTAACCAGAGGCTCTCTAACCCTGAGTCTTTATTTCTTTATGAAATGATGATACCTCCAGTGAAACCTGTGAAAGTTTTCTTCACTTCTTCACTGACACAGTTGTCAGCTAGATCCTGTATTTCTCAGCCTCCATATATGACCCTTCTCTTTCTTTACACTACTCATCTGTTTATCATCAGTTTGAGCCGGTATCCTTTTCCTTTTTGAAGGAAACAGTTGGTCATATGAGGCCCTCTGGTTCCCCTTTAGAACCCATCCCACCTCACTTGTTTAAGGAGGTTCTTGCAACCATTGGACCAAGTGTACTACAGATTATCAATACTAGTCTTTCATCAGGGACAGTACTTGAAGTTTTTAAGCATACATTTGTACATCCTCTACTTAAAAAAACAGGTCTCAATCCATCYCTCTGCTCCAACTTTAGGCCTATCTCCAATCTTTCATTTATTTCTAAAATTTTGAGAATGTTGTCTATAACCAGTTGTTACCATTTTTAGGCAGCAATGGTATCACTGAGCCATTTCAGTCTGGGTTTAAAGCCCTCCACAGTAAAGAGAGTGCACTTTTAAGAGTCACAAATGACTTATTTTTGTCAACGGACTCTGGAAAGTTTGTTGTTTTAGTGCTTTTAGATTTGTCCAGTGCATTTGACACCGTTGACCACAGCATTTTAATCTCTCGTCTCGAGCACTGTGTGGGCATTAGGGGTGTCAAACCTCGATTGGTTTCGGTCCTACTTGTCTAATAGGAGTTTTTGTGTAAAGATTGACAACTCTATGTCCTCCACAGCTCCCCTTCCACATGGGGTGCCCCAGGGGTCAATCCTTGGCCCTCTTTTATTTGCCCTTTACATACTTCCACTTGGCTCTGTTTTAGGAAGCATGGTATTTCATTTCACTGTTATGCTGATGACTGCCAGATCTATTTTCCCTTTGCTCAAAACAACATAGTCCAACTCATACACTGCTGTACTGCTATAAAAGCATGGTTCTCTCTTAACTACCTTAGTCTGAATGAAAATAAGACCTAAGTTATGTTGTTTGGACCGAGTGGCTCCTCCTCCCCCAACGTAGATCTTGGCTCACTGTCACTCCATCTCGGGGATTGTCACCAATTTCGGAGTGAATTTTGAGTCTTATTTTAAAATTGAGAAACAGATCAGCAGAGTTGTTCAGAAGAGTTTTTATCAGCTATGTCAAATAGCAAAGGTGAAATCAATCTTGGCAAGATCTGACCTGGAAAAATTAATCCATGCTTTTATAACAGTTCATCTTGATTATTGTAACTCATTGTATGTAGGMATTAGTCAGACCTCTCTYGCCCGCCTGCAGCTTGTGCARAACTCTGCTGCTCACCTCTTAACTCGAGCGAGCATATCACTTCCATCATGGCGTCCCTTCACTGGCTCCCTGTTCACTACAGAATTCAGTTTAAGCTGCTGCTGATCATCCCTAAAACTAGGCGGAAACTTAGAGGCGACAGAGCATTTTCTGTTGACATAACTTATGACATAACTTATGTCTTACTGTACAGCACTTTRGTTGCCCTTGTGGTTTTTAAAATGTGCTCTATAAATAAAGTTGATTGATTTATTGTCCAGTTTTGATGAACTTGTGTGAATTAAAGATATTGAGTTGCTGCAATGTGATTGGTTGATTTCCTATTTGGGTTAACAAGCAATTAAACAGAGACTTATTGTCAGGTTCAAGTAAAGCTTTATTATCCCCAAGAGGCAATTTGCTGTGCAGACAGCAGTGGATAAAAAAGCCAACAAAAACCATCCATACAAAACAAATGGCCTTGTCAATGCCGGGTTTACATCGTAAGGATGAATATGACCTAATAGCAGTCTTACAGTATTCTGTGTCTCTGTCCTGATGGTAAAAGGAAGAATTCTGCCTTCAAAATGATCCTAGATGTCTTTATAGGCCTGGATTTATAGAGATAACTCAGGTTGTTACAAGACATTCCAGCAGTTAACCAACAAACCTTAACAATACTTTGCAACTGGTTCTTATTTTTGATAGGAAGTGACCCTTACAAACACATAAAAGCCAAAGTTAGAAGTGATTCACTTGAACCAGAAGAGCTCTTCTTTCACCGTGAATCCTGCTTCAGGTGAATTTTCCTGATGCTGAGAGAAGTTGTTAAAAAATTTGGACAGATTTGTTTTTTTTTTCTAAACACGTGGGTGTTTAAACAAACTGCAGTATTTTCTCCATCTGTAACTGATCCAGACTAAGACAAATAAAGTTTATTTTAGAAAGCAGCCATAATCTGTAATAAACTGCAATAATACTTTTTTGTGTGTGTYGGCGTGGGAGTTATGCTTCCATACCGGAAGATATTGCACAGCTGGTGGGCTGTAAAATGTCAGACATGTCCTCTGGCTTCTGTWAAAACACGGCAGCATTAAATCTCACAGACTGCGAGGGTTTAAACACRCAGAAGGCTTTTATTAGGGATGCAGGTGTCTCAGGTTTTACAGGTCTGGAGAGGAGCGCCCTGCTTAACTCCAGTTTGTTTTTGTTTCTGGATTAAAACAAGTGCAGCAAAGATTGTTTCGACATGTTGGCTCCACAAACTTGTTTTGTTTTTCTTTCTTTTCATGCATATCAGGTCGGTGCTGCTGACTGGGGACAAGCTGAAACATATTATAACCTCTATGAGGTTCTTTTCAAGGTTCATAAGGTGCGTAAARCAAAAGATGTGAGATGCAGTGTTTTTATTCTGATTCAGAAACTGGGTTTAACACATTTTGTTGTTCCAGCTCTGGATGGCAGAGGACTGCTGGCTCCAGGCGAGGCTCTACCTGGGCCTGGAGCATTCACCTGAGCAGCAGGACGGCGAGTCCCTTTGCTTCAGTATTTTGGTCGGCCACGGCCAGAGCCACACCTTCAGGGTAGAGCTGGCCTCTGAGCTGGCCGTCTGGGAGAAATCCTTCCAAAGAGCCGTGTTTCTGGAAGTGCAGCAAATACGAGTAAGTGTCGTGTCTCAGGTTGTATCTTCTGCTGTTTGGGSCTCAACAAGTTATTGATTTGATTTCTTGTTGCTTCACAGTCTCATAAAGTTGATGTTGTTGTGACATAAAACTGCATGAAACTCAAATCCACTGGAATGTGAAATGTGTTTAAAGCGTAACCCCGCCTYCAGACTAATTTAGAAAAATGCCAACAAAGTGGGCGGTGCCAAGGGACACTGAGGGGTAGGGCCAAGTGTGGGGATGRGCGAGGAGGTGTGGTCAGGTGTTCTGTCCCCGAACTCTATGGTGCCAAGGCTCACTGATGATAAACTGATGAGGTCAGTGAGAGACCACTCCACTTGCAGGATTAAAAATCAACAGATTTATCATCGAGGGAACATTGGTGATGATGTGGAACAGCAACTTTGAAGTTGGTAGTTTAAAMAGTGTTGAACCACACATTTCAGCCTGTAGTAAAGATGTTTTTATCATATTTATACAACAGTTAACTCTAGGTCAGCATTGTTTCTAAGAAAATTAAAATTTGTACCAATTTCTTGCTTCAGTGAAGAAACACTTCATATGTTGACACATAATCATAATTCTGCYGTTTTCAGTTTTCTAAGGATTTTAATTGCATCTAAAAGTGAAACGATACCCAAAGCTTAGTTTTTCACAAATGTTTTTGTTRCTTAAAATGCATTTAGCACCAAGAACCTAAAGAATTAGTCCTCACATCAATGAGCCATTAAATTGCTTCTTAAGCAGATATCTCAGAAATTTAAAGCTCTGATGGGTAAAAAAAAAAACTTGAGTGAGCGTTTCTTTGACGTCCATCACAAGGCTCGAATTTAAACAGTTTAACAAGTTAACACGAAAAGTCTGACTTTATTCTGCGTGAAACTTATTTAAAGCTGAAACATCAGGCTGATTCCTGAAAAATGTTAACAAAAGTAAAAAATTAATGTGAAATAATAAAGTCATCACAGAAAAGGATTAATCTATTGGATACATTTTATTTATATGTGTTGCTGTTTCACTTTGTGCCCAGCAGCATGAACGTAAGGATTAAAAATAATGACCTCAGATTAGTTAAAAATGAAATAAAAAAATATTTAAAAACGACAGCCTGCAGTAATAAACTCAAACTTCAAATTAATTTCCCCATTAAACCCAAATTAGATAACGACACAAAACCTCTTAAAAGTTTCTATAACAGTCAAAGGATGTGAAGCTCCCCAGTGAGAAGACTGAACTTTCATTGTGTGAAATATGTTAGAGTTGAGGTGAAGTGTGGGAGGAAGACGAGGGACACGATGAAGCAGCCTTGAGCTCAGAGCGTAGCTGAAGGGAAAAAACAAAAAGCAGCAGAGAGAAATAAAAACCTGGTTCAGGTGAAAATCTACATCTGCTCAAACTGATTCTGTACAAAATAACAGACTTTCAAAAAACTAAGAATCTGTGTGAAAATCTGAGGGCTGTTACAGGACGTTTATTCAGTTTTATTGCTTTTACATTTAAGATTYATAAAACATCTCTGTTCTTCTTACAGCTTATTATTTTAAAATATGAAACCTTTTGAATTTAAAGTAACTTTTTTTGTAAATTTCACAAAGCAAATTTGTGAGAAAATCCAAACGGTCCAATTTCTTTTCACTGTTTGATCCTTTCTTTCATTTCTTTTTCCATCTGAGAGACACTCTGAAACGGAGACCTGCTGTTTCTTTCTAGCAGAGTCTTCTGCGGCGCAGRAACGACTGAATTTAACTGACTTATTGTAACGAAGCTCACTCCCAGGCACACGGTGTCGGCTTTCTGCCTCGGAGCGCAGCTTTATGTATGTGCCGTATCACCGCTTCTTCACTGAGCTTTAAAAGGTCCCGCTCGGCCATGATCACACATTGTATTCAGGAATTAAGGCAGAATGCCACATGTCAGGTCAGACTCTTCATCAAATGGCCAGCGGTGCTTTTTGTAATCCTCTCCATTCTCAGCCTCTCACCCCTTCAACGCGGCCAGCCAAAAGAAAAAGAGTGAAAAWGCTGCGAAGCCCGCAGGCTGCCGAGCTCAGGACACTGAAATATGGACATTTATAAATATTACAAAGCAGAGATCCTGCCACAAGAAATTTGAATCACTGTTTCTTCCAGGTCAATACGGGAGCCTGAACTAATGAAACAACTGTTTCACCTGCAGAACAGAGTGCAGGTTTTAAGTTTCATACCAGCAAGCTGCATCTAAACATCTTTGCAAATGAAATCTTTAAAGCTCGAAGTCTTTGCGTTGACTCACAGTAAACACAAATAGAATAAGTTGATAATTTAGTTTGATTCCATCGTGTCATGACTGATTAAAATGTCTTGTTTTCATTACAGAAGTGAGGTTAGCTTATCTGACTCTTCTGTTGTGCAACTTGTCAAACTAGGATCATGTCCTGCAGGTCAGCTGATCGGCTGCAGGATATGTGCGTGCTTCAACCACAAAAGCTGATTGGCTCATGGGTTGAAATGTGCATGAATCATGGGGCTCAGAGCAAATATAAACTTCCTGTTTGTTATTCTCTGACACAACTAGACTCTTACTATCAAATCATTCCTTTTTTTAATAAATTACCAAAACCGTCGATGAATTCTATTATTGAGTCTCACAATTACTAACAGTAAAATATGTGGCGCCAAGTGCAAATGAAATTCCTTTGCATATTTTTCATTATTTAGCTCACTTTTTGAGTGTTAAAAAATTCCACTAACATTTTCTTGTTATTTAGCTCATTTTTAAGAAATTCTAAACTTAAATGTTAAATGTATTTAAATATGAAATCCTAAATCTAAATGTAAAAATTAAACCTTTAAATATTGAAGTTCACATTTAGGTATTTTGGAATGGAATGCAGCCTTTACTGTTGGTGCTCAGCTCACCCTATGATGTCATCATCCTGAGACAATAGCAACCGCTAGCTCCAACACAGCTAAAGCTTCTCTACAAGACATCAACTTTGCAGATACAGCTGGTGTCTGAGCTGCACTTCAAACTGCTGGACCACAGGGACCACCAATATTGTGTTTTTTAATGAACACAGCAGCGTTAGCTACGTTCGCAAAAGTTGGCGTCAGATAACGACATCATCATCCTGCGACAAACGTCAATTTCCACTGCTAGCCACCGCTAGCTGCTGCTAACAGTGTGACTTTCATATCCTTCAAATACAAAATGTTGTAGAAAACATCTTTATATCTAAGAAACGATATAATACACACAAATTACACATTTTGTCAAATGACTGGCAGATTTTCTTTTGAACTTGGCTCAAAGTGAAACAGGAAGTGACATCAAAGTGGAACTCTTTTTAAGAAAATGAACTCACTGGTTTTTGTTTATTAAAATATTGGTTGAATTCTGACTCGTCATCTTCTTGATTTAAAATAATCTAAAGAAACATCAGATTCTTCTCTGCAGTTATTCTAGCATCGCTCTGTTTTCATGCTCTGACATCACTTCCTGTTACTTCACATGTGAATATCTCAGCAACTGTTCATCTCAGCAGCTTGTATTTTTTTTGCAATATGTTTTCATTGTTCTCTTTCCAAAAACATATATATTTAATATAAAAACTTGATGTCACAGGCACTTTAAGATTAGAATAAATTCTGTTAGTGTTATAAAATATTAGATTTAAACCAGATAAACAGAGAATTTCAGAAGTTCTGAAGAATAATGGATAAACGTCAGAGTCAGATGTAGAAGTGGAAGTTGTGGTGACGAGTTTTTCCCTGTTTCCTTTCAGCTCAGGTTAGAAAATGTAAATCCAGGAGTAAAACTGTGAGCTGCTTCAGAGAGCTGATGAACCACCAGAACAAAGTTCTTTTGGGTTTTGCTCTGCGTGTGCTCTCCCTAACAGCCCACCGGCTCTAACATGTTTTGTCTTGCAGTGAATTTGCATCACTGTAACTTTAAATTAGAAAAGGCAAAATGTCCTGTCTTATAAACAAGAGTTGATGCTTTTTAAAAGGCGGTTTAGAAAATCTGCTGCRTTTCAGAAGGAAGTGTTGCACCAGCAGAGACATCAGGTCCAAACCGACACATTTTTAATGCGCAGTAGATATTAATAAAAATGCATGTTTTGGCCTCATGTCTTCAGTTTGCTCAAGCAGCAAATTAAACACACAGCTTGAACAGAATCTGTGATTTCTGCGGTTCAAATGTGCTGATTAGGCGGTTTGGAAACAGAGTTGTTTTAAAGCTTCTGTGACCTCTGATCTGATGTGCAAAATATGTGATTCTTGTTTGAGTTCACAGCTACAGGCAGGGAATCAAACTGAGCTCATGAAGGGTTCTGAGGGATCTGTGTTGTCTAAACGTGGCTGTTTTCTGGAAATGTGCTACATGGCAACAAAAAAAAAGGATCCTGAGATGGAGAGATCGGGTCGGATTTATAAAGCTTGCGTGCGCCACTTTTCACRYAYRGGTTCTGATTTATAAAAGCCAAACTGGGCGTGAAAATGTGCAGTCCTTTACGCCCACTCTGAGCCATGCGTACGTTTATTTTGGAGACGGGAAGCTGGTGACAGAAGGTGAAGTGAGGAATTATAGYGACACTGCATCATGATCACTCTCATATTTAATTTGACTTCATAATCAAACTTGGATTTTAGATCAACAGTATTATTTATGCCTCTGCTATTGAGCCATGAGGACCTTCCAAATAAGAAAGACCTTCTAAACCAATCCATCCATCCATCCATCCATCCATCCATCCATCCATCCATCCATCCATTTTCTTCCGCCTATCTGGGGTCGGGTCGAGGGGGCAGCAGCTTCAGAAGGGAGGCCCAGACCTCCCTCTCCCCAGCCACTTCTTCCAGCTCCTCCGGGGGAACTCCAAAGCGTTCCCAGGCCAGCCGAGAGACATAGTCCCTCCAGCGTGTCCTGGGTCTTCCTCGGGGCCTCCTTCCGGTGGGACGTGCCTGGAACACCTCGCCAGGGAGGCGTCCAGGAGGCATCCTTACCAGATGCCCGAG